TCACTGTCCGTCATCGGAAGGGGCATCTCATAGAACCCCTGTCTAGAAGACCCTGCCCAGAAAGCTGCCGCTGTTATTCCAGAGTCGAAGCGAAATACAAGCTGCTTAATCCAGTTGCACGACAAGTTACAACTCGAACATGGGTTGATCGAGACCCATGGAATGACGAAGAAGTCAAGAAAGACCAGGTGAAGACGGAAATATTAAACTCTTAATTGACTTAATGAAGGTTTGGAACAAGAAACTTACCTGGCAGGACATTTCGAGCTCAGTCCTACCACAATACAACATTGGGCTCTGTAGGAGTCACTCGCTATTCGAAACGGCGTTTTGCTCCATATTCGAAGTGTCATTCCATATTCGACACGGAAGTTCGAATCAGATAAAAGAAAGATATTCCGATGGCAGCTGATACTTCTAAGACCCGGACATCCTTAAAGAACTACATAACAGCCCTACAAAAGGCCACTTCGGAATAATGAAGATTTTTCAGAGCGTTTCTACTGGAGTAATGCAAAGGGATGACGTACAAAAGTGATGCCAAGCTTGCGATGCCTGTGCGGGTCGGAAAAGACTGAAGAAAAGCAGCCGAGGAAAGCTGCAATGTTACAGTCTGGTGAAACCTTTTGAACGTATCGCATTTGACATCCTGGGACCTCTGCAAAGAACTGCTGATGGCTACAAATACATCTTTGTTGTCATTGACTACTTCACAAAGTGGCCTAAAGCGTATCCTATTCCTGACCAAGAGGCTGTTAATGAGAGAAGCTGAGCAGACTTAATGGATTTCTGGATTTTCTGGTTCTCAGTGTCTCTTCAGTTGCATTCTGTTTAAGGAAAAAATTTTACCTCGGTTGTAATTAAAGAACTCTGCAAACTACTGGGCATCGACAAAACCCAAACGACGCCTTTACATCCTTAGTCAGATGGCATATTAGAGAGGTTTCATCGAAGCATCCTTAATAACCTCTCGCTGACGATTTTCAGAAGCGAACAGGCTGGGAATAGAAGTTACCATTGTTCTTACTGGCCTATCGTAGTGCTGTCTACAACACTACCAGCTATTCCCCTTCGCAGATGCTCTTCGGTCGTGACCTTCATCTGCTTCGTGATCTCATATTTGGTTGCTTTCCGGATGCGCCTTTATCACTTGAAGAGTACATCCAAAATCTGCCAGGCAAGGTTGGAATGATGCATAATTTTGTACAAGAGCGAATCAACTTGGCGACAGAGAAGATGACAACCAGATGCGACACAAGAGCTACAGGACATCGATCCAAAGAAGTTGACAAGGTGTGGTTATAGAATCCAGTTCGACGGAAAAGTATCTCTCCTAAACTAGTCTCCTTGGGACGGTACTTAACAGACTGAACGATACCGTAGTTCAAGATCTGTAAGTCGTCAAATTCTAAGCCTGAAGTTGTTCATTACGAAAGGCTAACCCGTTACTGTGGCCACAGTACGTACTCCTCGTAAAATATATAATGTAAATGGTATACTAAGAACTTGGTTCCATTTTTATATGAATTTATGCATTAATTTATTGGTTTAGCATTTGATTAGTTTTATGACATTTAATGCAATTATTCTTTATGTATTGCATTGATTTGCCTTAGTCGTGAATATGGCTGTCCAGAGATTAAAATGCCCGGGATGTGCAGCCATTGAAAAGGGGAGAAATGTTAAGAATTTTGTAGGTAGATAGATGATTTCATATGCAGCTGTAACCGTACCTGGCCCTCATTTACCTTCCAGTAATTTCGAGAAGTACTAGACATTTCTCGTTGGCCGGGCGAAAACTATATAAGACTGGAAAACGTATTTGTTCTCAGTTGATTTTGATTTCTTTTCGGACGATGAGGTTAACGTCGCTGCTCGACGGACCTACATTTTTTACGCTCTTGTATTTTTACGTTCAAGACTCTGTTGTTAATACTTTCCGTCACTTATCACTTTTCGATCAATGTTAACGAAACAAAGGGCGACCTTTTAAAATGGGGCTTTGAAGAATATGATGATCTATCTATTCGACGAACATATGGCAACTGATAACTTGCAAAAAGGTGAAAACATGTCTGCAAAATTAAAACGTTGCGAAACGAACTTTAGTAAAAGAACATAATTGAAAATTTCCAACAGAGATGCTAAAGTTTCTTGATCAGAGAAACAAATCATAAGATGAGGTATAGTTTTACCTAAGAAAACGTCAAGCTGCTGACATAGGTCAACGCTTCGGTGCCTAATCCTTTCGCCAAACTGGACTCTGAAACAGCCCCAAACTGCCCAGTATCAGTAACTGCTCATGTTCCTGTCTGAGTAGAGACACCAAATTGAAGTAGATCTTGAATGAGAGACTACCACCGGTCATCTGTTTCCGCCCGGAAATCACTTGCAATGAACCGAAAAGTTTATTTACTGAGAGCGGAGTTATATGACTATAATGGAACTCTCACAATCTCCTTCCAATCCAACGACCAACGTATCCGTGCTCTTGCACTTCTCATGAAGCATGAGATACAGTACCTTCAGAGTAAAAGCTAATAACTCACTGAAAGTTACTATTCAAGAACTTCACGTGGATACGACACCTGAAGATACCATAACTGAACTCAGTCAGAAAAGCTTTCCTGTTCTGAAAATTAAACAATTCTCAATACGGACCGCTAAGAGATGTTTCCTGTGTCTTACGTCTCGGTGAGCCGCACCGATGCAGGGAGAAAAGTCTAGTTTGTTATGACATTGCCAAACTTATATATAAGGATCAGACATTACCGATCGGTTAAGAATCTGATTCAATGTTTTAGGTGCCAGGATTTGGACATGGCCGAGTTTTTTGCAATAACAGACTGCGCTGTCTCAAGTGTTCAGGTAATCACCTGACTTATACATGAGAATTCCCAAAGGATATCAAGCCCACCTGTGTCATAAAAAAGAAAATGTTTCATCGTTTAAATACTTTCTTGAAAATTCGCAGAGAAAAACCTACATTAAGCCATTAAAACCCTCTCAACCCTCCAGATTAATTTCTTTGTACACCACGTAAGGAACGGACTCTGCCAAACTCATATCTTGTTTCCGATTTGATGGGCTTTCCGGATTTCAGTAAACTCCTTTCTAATATCAATGCAATATATGCGCAATGTCAACATAGTGCATAAGTGTAAAACTACGAGACCGCTAAATCAGAATTTTAAATTGACTCTTACAGTGCTAGAAATTTTTGAAAGAATTTAAAATTACTTCAGATTTGTGATAACGTAGTAAGAACTTTGATTTTCAAACTCTATGAACATGATACGACGACGAAAGTCACAAGTTCTGCTTCTGTCCGATTTGCTATCTCCCTACTTCCTGATTCGCCACCTTCACGATCCTCAGTGACTCGGCCTGTATCATCCTGATGCTGTGGTCTTCTCATCGCTTTTTCCACCATTAGATTGCGACACTTATGGCACTAGCTCCTCGTTATGTGTTCGCAGCCCTTTTAGAGGTAAAAGTGGCCTCTTCTTGGACTCTCTGATGTTCTCCTGTTGCGTGATCTACTTCATGTTTTTCATCAACACCTCCCTAGTGGACTTTTAGATTACTGGGAAGTGCTACTTAATGCTATAGAAACGCAGTATAACCACCTAAGTATGAAGATATGCTCCCAGTTACTTAGTTGTGAGTTCGGTGTACTGAGATATCTCCGGGTGAGCTTCGCTGCCTAGATACGCTTTGTATTGTACTGTGTTTAACATTCTTAGTAGTTTAAAGATTGTACTCTGTGATACTGAAGAGTTGTGCGACTATTTCTGCGGAAAGTTCCAGAATTCTGAAGTGTTTCTTTTGATAAATTTTATCAACCTATCATTGCACTTGCGTACATTCAATCTATTACGAACCCGTGCGCACGCAACAATATATAGCTGAAACATTGTGACTTCCGTATGAGCATAAGATGTAAAGACCTTTTTAAATTAAGGATATTATAACTTTTATGGATTAATAAATATTTGGATTGATGAATATCCAGTTGAAATTTACGACTTAGCTCCTCTTTATTAAAGTTATTAGCATGTTCACCTATTATTCCTTCTATTTATTTTCAAAATGGCTAGATCGGGATCTTCCACTGTAGAAGCTTAAGTTTCATGGATGAAGAATAGGAAGGCTGCACGCCAGAATTGTAGATCACTTAGCCGCAAAGTCTTACCAGGGAATACCACAAGAAGGTGGATTTATGTTGCACTTTAAAGAGGAAACAAATCATTCCCTAGTGGGTGCTTGGCCACTGTCGCAATGAACAAGCGAACTTCCTTGTAAAAAGAGGTGGCAGCATACTACAACATTCTAATACAGCCATTTCTTATTGGAGGATTAAACTTTTTTTTTTTTTTTTAATATTTACATCTAATACCTTATGAGATCTTCAGAGTTGTATGGCTTTAAAAAGTTGTAGGACGATAAATCCTTCTCTCATACCCGATACTCCAAAACGCAAAATTCAGTTGAGGCTTTTCTTTTGTCTACAGAACATGACTGCCTTGCCGCCCACCAACACCGCATACACATTTCAACTGATCCTATTTACCCACTTTGTGATTCTGGAGAAGAAATGTCTTGGAACAACATGCTGCGATGTGCGGCTCTTCGTGGTGTTACTCAGGATTCAGGGTAGTGGGGAAGCAAGAACGCACTTTAAGCAATGACTTCGGTCTTTTTGTTCTTACTTCTATTGTTTGTAACCTTTGTTTATACATATAATTTTGTTTATATATATAATTTTAGTTCTTTGTAACTCTTTACCTAGCCACTAGAAATAAAAAAAAAATATATTTTCAAAATTTATACATTTATATTTAACTAATGTAAAAAAAAAAAAAAAAAAAAAAAAAAAAAAAAAAAATGCTACATGTTTTAATAAAATTCTAGTTCATGCATGTGGGATAATACCTGATCCCCATTGATAAATACTATGTGTCTTAACTTATCTTCGACTAAACTGAATAAAATATATAAAATTTATACAATAATTTATTTTTCCATAACATAAATTAGAAATGTGTAATTTTTCCACAAATGTCTCAGGAAAATGGGAAGCATTTTACACACCAGAAAATGCAGGAATTTAACAGCAACATATATTCTTCTGCACTATCTTTTTTATTATTTAAACCAATAAAAATACTGTACAAATTCATAAATAAATTTTAAAAAATTTGGACTTCATTTGGGTTAAGAGAAAGAATAAGATACTCTGATCATTGGAATTCTATAAACCTCACACCATGCATTTAAAAAAAATGGTCCACAACATTCAATTCTTTTTAATGACATTCTTCCTCCTTCTCAATCCAAATATATGGATGACTGGTAAATTCTAGAATTCAAGAATACATTTGTATGAAAATCAGTAAAGTTATAAACTTAACTGTAATACGAAAAGCAAGACATTATTTTTGTTGTACTCAAAACATATGTTAGCTAGGTATATATAAATATTGAATTTTTCCTCTAAATTTCTTCCTTTCTCAAGATTTACATGCAAAATTCTGTGCTTTATTATTACAACTTTTTTTAAAAAAATTTTAATTTAACAGATCTTTGAAAATTTAAGACCCTTTTCAGACCCAAAGGAACATGTATGTTCCAGACATATCTCTTATTTTAATGGGTCAAAAAAGCCTTGTTATACAGCATTATTTTTAACAGTGGTGTTTCATTACCTACAATTTTACTTGAATTTCAGAAAAAAATGGAGAATATTTTGGCTGTTTACAAAGGTTAATGTCTTATTTTGCAGTAAGTAAAAATACTAATATTTAGCTATTGTACAATTATGAGACACATGCCCTGGTGGGGTTTTTGAATGGGTTACATATATTTCACAAGTATGAGTATTTTCAACATGAGCAAGAATAAATTGACTCAAACTGAATTCAAGTTAGCTGCATATTTGAACCAAAAGCAGAATCACTTGTAGATGAATAATCAATTGGGACTTTTTGATAAGGGACTCAAAATGGATTAATTTTAAAGACAATGTTTCTAAATGGGAAATACATTTATAACTATTCTTAACACATTATAAAAAGTATCAATAATATTTCATATAAGAAACATAAAAAAACAATAATCACTATATTATTATTTTAATATAATGCTCTCTGTGCCAAAATATCATAAAATTCTGAGTCTTCAGTTTGAAGGGCATTAAAAAAGTTCTTTATTGCAATTTTTCCACAGGGGATGTCTCATATATATCTTCAGGATCACTGGTATCTTCACTGCAATACAAAATAATTGTTCTGTTAATTTGAGTACAATGAAAGCATGACTTTTTGAAAATAGGATTATATATTAAATACCATTTTTTATTATTTCTTTAAAACAACATTATGTATGTTATAGCCAAAGCTAGAAATCTAGCCAGTTTGTGAAATGACAGTCAGACTTTGTACTTTGGCTCTCACAATATAGCTGAAATCCAAAATATACAATAATTTCTCAACACTCCACAAGTCTGATGAAATTTTATTTGGAATGCTTGTCTATATAATGACTGACTGGTATTGCATTGCCGTCTCTTATTCACTTATACCTTTGAGAATGTATATATTACAGAGTTGGTTAACTCCACACACACACTTTCATTTTTTCTTTAGTTTTAATGTAAAAGGTTTCTGTTGCATCTTAGTGAATTTTAGATGAGTGAAATAAACATTCATTGCTGTTTTTAGTCATGTTTCTGTGTTCTGAATATTGCTAACAGCAAAATATAGTGTTCAACACATTTCTTCGTGCCCCTGCTGACAGGCTGAGGCAGCCTAGTTAGTATATTAACACTGTAAAAATTAATGTTGTAAAAAGAATTCAAGTGATGGGGGCCACTATCTATGGCATATGAGAAAAGAAACATTTTGATGTACTTTAGAAGCTGGTTCAAAGTGTTGTGCTTACATAAAGAAGGCTAACTAAAGAGGTCATTGCTTACTAAAAACGTGATTGCTACCAGAAGTGGATTATTTAATGGAAGAACCAGAAGTAGATTATTAATTATGGAATTACCAGAAGTAGATTATTAATTTTATTGCTGTTAAATCATGACAACTGGGATCAATGGAAAGTCACCATAAAGATGCTGTTACTGAATAAAAATTACTGGCCCTTCATAGAAGGTAAAGAAGAATTATTGGATGAAGGTGCAATAAGGCATAAAAAGCAGGATTTTAACTTTGAGAGAAAATACAGCCTTCACTACATTATGCTATGGAACTAAATCAGAGTTCAGGCCATTGATACAATAATGTTTGAATGGTAAAGAAGCATTGGAGGTTTTGCAGAAGCAATCTAAACTGAAAACAAGAGCAACAGTAATCTAGCTAGTGGATGAAATTTTCAGTATTAGGTATTCACCAAATATAGAAATGAGTTATTCATCACGAGGATAAAGATGACTGTGAACAAGCTGGCTGAAGCTGAACACAAGTTAACAGATCTTTCTAAAGGACCTCCATGATAGTACAGCTAATTTAGGGGTGAAAGAATAGGGATTTTGTGGTGAAAAAATCGCCAAGGAATAGGTAAGGGAAGAAAGTCAACTTCACTGGGTATAGGTCAATTTAAAAGACAGCAAGGTAAAAGTATTTGATGCTATTATCACAAATACAAGGGAAAATAGAACTGAAAGTAAAACTAAATTCAAGAAAAGAATTAATGTTAGAGAAAAAGAATTAATGTTAGTTTAAAATTATTTGTAAACTATAAATAAAGGACACAATGTGGATAAATTTAATTGAGTTGTAGATACAACCACTACAACTCACTTATGCAATAAATAGAAATTTAACGATAAACTTTGATGAAATAAATGATATACATATATCCTTAGCTATGGAGAAATTTTGAAAGCAAAGTATTAGTAAAAGGTAGTGTCAAATTTATAGTAAATGTAGGCAATCGAATAAGTTGGACTGAATTAGAAAATATATTGTATAATTTAAATCTAAGAAAACATTTACTATCAGGAGCATGATTAGAAAAGGCAGGTGTCCATTTTATAGGTTCAAATGTAAAATGTAGATATATTTCAATAACTGGGGTAGATTATATTACATGAACAGGTATGAAGGACTCTGTCACCACTTAAGTATGCAACAGATAAAAAGGAAGCAGGTTTTACGGTATGGAAACTGTAAAGTTAAATAAAGTATATGATACAAAGTTATGGCACCGAAGGTTTTGCCATGTAAACTTTGATTACATTCAGAACATTAGTAAAAATCGATCCATTTTAAAGAGTTGCCTGACATCGAAAACCAAAGGAAATGTGTGAACTTTATATTATTATCAAATCAAATAGAATAGCTTTTAAACCCCTTCCAAAAAATCTAATAAACCATTTCAGTTGGTTTATTTAGACATTTATGGTCCCCTCTTAGTTCCATCTAAAGGAGAAAGTAAATATTTCTTAGCTATCATAGATGACTACAGGTTAGTAACAGTTAAGACATAAAAAAAAAAAGAATCATTTGGCAACTTTTAAAAACTATCTTAGACAAAATCTGACAAACAGAAACTGAATTAGTATATACACCAATAACAACAGCAAATTTTGTAATAGGCAATGTGAAAAAAACTTAGGAAGAAATGGAATTAAGTATTGAATGTACAAATACATTCCCCAAAAGAACAGCAAATGTGAATGTTTTAAGTGAATGACATTAAATGCAGTTAATGCTATGCTTAATGATAGCAAAATGGGAAAAGATTGGCTCTTAGATTTAGATGTTTAGCACATGCTTAGAACAGGGTGTGTCATAAGAATAACCAATCTCCTCATGAAATGTTCTTCAAATGAAAACCAAGTGTTATTTATTTCAAGTAACTGATATAAAGCGCATGTTGACATATCACAAAAGGCTAGAAATAAACTGAAATGAAATACAATAAAGGAATCATGGTAGGATATGTCAAGGAAACTATAGGGTATAGAATATGACTACCAGAAAAATAGCAGAAACCAATGTTAAGTTTGAAGAAGGAATGAACACAGCAGATAGCATCCTTTAAACTTAAAACTCAGTTTAAAGAATTAGAAATGCTATCAGAGTTAGATGAAAAACAGGAAATATCTAGAATTTTTGGACTTAAACTAGCACAAAAAAAAAAAAAAAAAAAAAAAAAAAAAAAAAAAAAAAGCCAAAGGCAGACATATAGCATATGAGAAGGAAGATATACTTTGAAACTTGAACATTACATTTTACAATACTATGGAAAAATTAATTTTGTAAAAAAGGAGGATAGTTCCATACCTGAAGAGGCAAATTCTGTAGAAATTTTTGTCCCACAAAATTTTAAAACACGAAAATTTTCAAATGGCACAGAATTGGATAAAGCAATGAGGGAAGAAACAGACAATGAAAAAAAGGAAAATTTGGGAATTAGCTGAGAAGGCAGAAAGGAAAAATATAGTACAAAATAAATGGATCTATACATTAAAAGTAATGAAATGGTTAGATATAAAGCACTACTTGTCATATATGGATTCATGCAGAAAAGAGGAGATTTTGATGATGTTTACATTCCTGTAATAAATTTTTCAATTGTAAGAATATTTTGGACAATACTAGTATGTTTAAATGACTGAAATAATTGTCAATTGGACACAAAAATTCATAATTATATGCAAACCTAAATGACAGAATATAGAGGACCCAGCCAGTAGGCTTTGATAAAGAGAAAAGTAAAATGTGTGTATTGCACAAGGTCTGAATCAAAGCAGCCATGAATGGTTTCGGGAATTTGAAAATACTTTTGAAAACCTAACTTTTAAGAAAATATTCAATGTAGTTAAGTTTATAAGAGCCCTCATATAATTCTCTTATTACATGTAGATGATATTGCAGTTTTTAGTACAGATCAACATCATATAGCTAAAGTAATCTTACAATTGAGTAAGATGTTTATTTATTTATTTATTTCTAACTATTAGTTGGAACTAGAAAGTTATTTGGAAATGAATTTTTACAAAATGATTATGGGATTTTTATACATCAGCAAACATACATAAAAAAAACTTTTGGAAAAATTTGAACACTTTCAGATACCAATAACTTTACTTTCAAAAATTTGAACACTTTCAGATACCAATAACTTTACTTTCCATAGCCACAGCAACTATTATTGTAAAATTAGACTTATAAATAAAAAAGGTGAAAACTTGTCCACTATGGAGGCAGAGTTATCACCTTAAAGTATATAGAGTTATCAAAGGAGTTGCTATGGACAAAAAATGTCTTAAAAGATGGAGCTTTCCAAGTTCCACCTGAAAGAGAAGTAAACTGTTTTGTGATAAGAAATTTGCTGCTGATTTTTCTAGATCACCAACAGAAAACAGCTAGACTGCAGACACTGATACATGATATAACTTTACTAGAAGACTAGTAGTGATGGGATGTTTGACCTCAAGTTTATCCTCAGCAAATTAAATAATGTGGACTTATTTACAGAAGCAGTAATTGCTATGAATTTGAAGAAATTTGTACAAGTGTTTACAATATTCAAGAAGAATAAGTATTGTCTCCATGTAATAGAACTGAAATGTGCAATTTTGTAATGGTGTGTTCATAAGTTTTGATTCTGCATGAGAAAAAGGGGGCTGTTTTTGGCTCAATGGGTTTTTCACTTCCACAATTATATATAATTCAGTATTAAAATCCATACAATTTAATTACTCAGCAATAATAACAAAATTAAAATGCAAGGAATTTTTCAGCTGCCTTTAAAATATTTAGAAAAGGAATAACATGAAAACAAATTGGAAATGCCATTCTTAAAGATATAAATTTTTAGGAGATTTATGAAAAATCTGGATCGATTGACTTTTAATTAATGATTAATATATTTTTCTATCACTACAATTAATGTATATAATAGGAAATATTCACCTCTTCTTTTAACTAGTTTCATGCCATCTGAATGTATGCAAATATAAATGTACAAACAATTAAACTAAATTTCATATGCCAGATAATCACAGTTTCAGCATCATGTTTCACCAAATGCTTCTTTTTTAAACCTAGCAAAGTTTAAAATTAGCTTCTGTTTCTTCAGTTTTTCAGGAATCCATAAAAAGGCCCATTTCAAATGTACCAACATACAATTTTAGCATTAAGTATACATTTGTTAACAGTTAAAGATTCAATACCAAACATGCTTAAAAGGAGAAAAACTCTAAATATGATTCTAGAATACTGACGGCAAATTCCATAATAATAACCAGTAGAATAAACATTTAGAAAAATTTAACTGCTATTCTCAGCTTCATTTTTTTCAGACAATAATTACTATATTACTTTGAATTTAACCTGGACTAGGATTTTAAAACTGGGGAACAAAAAATAGCCACTTCCAAATTTTAGTCCAGCAGGATTGCAAAATTGGAAAAATTATGAAAAATAAAAACGATTTTATAGCAAGCATTGAAAAATACCTGTTTTCAAAGCCACAAATGCCATATTTAATTGAAAATAAAATTCCCTTTTTTTTGCAATATTTTTATTCTAAAATTTAATCAGGTTTGGTAATCAGGTATGTCAATACATGAAACAGCAGAATGAGGAGAGGGAGTTTAATTATCATATTGTATTGATCATACTTTTTTAAAACTAAATAAACCATGCAGGGAATAATCATATACAGGCAGCCCTCAACTTCACACAATCTGCCATTTTGCACATTTTTTAAAAATTCAATTTTTCAAAGATTTTATCTTTAATAAAAAAAAAACTGCTTGCACATCAACTGCTTTCGGTTCATTCATTCCATCTGCTTCTTTTTTTCCTTACTCTCACCAGCAAGAGTCATTCGCAGCTGTGACTAGGATAAGGGTAGATAAGGGGTCACAGACACACATTGCTTCCTACAATAGTGGACTTCTTGGAATTATTATCACCACTGTGTTGTTTCATGTAAGAAGTCAAAAGAGTTTCAATCTTGCATTACAGCGTGCATCAATATGTTAAACATTTTGCCAATTTATTTGTTTATGCTTAAATATTTTACCTTATAAATTGATAAACACGAGTGAGAAATGGAGAAATTCCAGTGTTGATATAAACAAAAAGAAATTAAGGATTCATAAACTTCGTATGATCAAGACAAAGATGAAAGAATTAAACGTTCTCAAAACGTAAATATTTTGCTTCAATCTGATATTTGTACGATGTAAACAGATCTACGATACGCTCAATTTTAAAAAATTAGAGTAAAATAAAAGAATATGTTCAAATTTATGGAAATATAACCTTAAAAATTTTCAATTCTCCAAAAACTTTGGAATAGTGATGGATAAAATGGAAAGATCTTTGTCTACATGGATTGATAATTAACATGAAAATAATGATCTTCTGATTTTCCAATTATTCAAATTAAGGCTCCTAGTTTGCACGAAGACTAGAACATTAGATTAAATGCACTGTGTTTCAAGCAAGTAATGGCTGGCTCAACAAATTTAAAATTATATATTCTTTATATACACTCATGTCCATAAATTAAGGATAATTCGGATTAGAAATAAATGAATTTTAATAAGAATAATACTCTAATTACAAAGTCACCTACTTTTTATCTCTTAAAATTTATCATAAAATGTAAGGGAGGACTTATATTTGAAGAGGTCTTATTTTTCAATAAATAGGGCATTTAAGATATGATCACTGGGGAGTAGGAAAATGGCAGGAATAAATTTTTAACTATTAACTTTGAATTTAAGCTCCATCATAATTTTACACCTTAAAATTAAATAAAAATTTCTCCTTAAATTTGATGTAATACAGCATTAAAGAAAGAGACAATCAAATTATAAGGCAACAATGAAAGAAAGCCAAATAACTGTTTTTAAAATTTATTATTGAATTTGCAGATTTCAAACACAATTATTTGTTATTCATCATCATAATCTAGGAATTAGCCATGTTAGAAGTGTAAAAATATAAGAAATGATTTATACTCCACAGAAAGTTAAAAAAAATAAAACATCTCTCAATGTCACATCTTTAATTGCACTTAACATCATTAATATAATCTTGGCCAGGAGGTCTGTTATACCTGGAAACATACTCCAGACCGTGTGGACCTTTTGATGAGTATTCTTCCAGGTGAGGTAATTCTAGTAATTCTGGGCGAAAATTCTTCAAAAAGTATATCCATGGTTTCAAAATTTTTCCCTCTGAGGCTTCATTTTCATTTGCAATAAGTTCTACAGATTCAATCATCCTAGTATAATATTTTGGATGGCATTCCAGAATGTCCAATTCAGTCAGCACTGAATCATCAACTTTATATAATTCCCCAATAACATGCTAAGAAAAGTAAAAGCACAATTAATAACAAGCTATGTAGTATACAATTCATAAATAAAATTCAACATGCTAAGAAAAATACAAACATTAACAATGGTGCATATATGATTTATAAAATTCAACAGAATCATAGGACAAATAAATGTACAAAAACTTATAATTTTATATTAATATAGAATATTAAGAATTTAGAAAAAGAGAATTATTTCCTTTACTATAAGGATTTCACATCCTGACAAAGCAGGTTCTTAACTTCACTAATGAGAAATACTAATTATATGGCAAACACTTCTTTGAAATGCATTCTTTAATGTGAAATTTTCCAATTGGACTTTTTTTTCTCTACAAGATTAGTAATAATGTTTTTCGCCATAAATTTTAAGAAGCACAAATGCTTGATTGAAAAAAAAAAAAACAAAAAAAAAAAAAAAAAAAAAGAAAGACAGTTACATCTTGAATCATAAAATGTTTTCCTATACGTGCAGCTTATTTAACAGGAAATGCTTTTAAAAAAAAAAATCTGAAAAACCTTTCCCCTCACCCGCATTTATTAGATTGTATTCCAACAAAGATTATATACACAGTTAAATTTTTATTGACAGTTTTTGATTAGTACATGTATTAAATTGTCAGGTACACAAATTAAATATGGTCAAGAAGAAAAGAGTTCCTGTTACTGGCCAAGGCCTTAGGCACAAATATTGATTTTCATTAGCAATAAATAACAATTCTAATCTATAAATTACAATTAAATTTTACTTAACAAAATGTGTTTTTAATGGAATTTACTACTGTACTTTTCTTTCTCTGGAAAAAAAGTAATTTTAAGTCCAATATAACGAAGCAATTACACTTTTTAATTACACGTCTGAAAACTAAACACATATTTTTCATTTTATTTGCTGTATATGAAAATTAATAAAGTTTTTTCCCCCTTTTTCCTTTGTACAGTCAAAAGTCGTTATCAGACACCCATAACTCGGAATGATCTATAATCCGGACATCAAAACTAAAAACTTTCTGCGCATGCGCCACGTTGCCACATGCGCAGAGGCGTTCACGCGTGCGCGTAAGACCTTTTACGACTGCGCATATGAGTGTGCGCAAGTGCAGAATACGTTTTCGCGTGCGCATTTTATGTATAATGGATGTATAAGCTAAAATTATTAATTATCTATTTCAGTTAATGTTGATGATTGCGTTGTTCCTTAATTTTCGAATTGGATCCGGCTTATTATTTTTTGCAGACTGTTAAGAGCAATTTTATAAAAGTAAGCTTAAACTTTCGATTATATCAAATAGAATTTCCGATATATATTTGTTAATATGTAAAGGATCTACAGGCAAAAGTATGTTTTGATATCCGAAATCTGTTTATCAATTTCACGCTGCTCGGCAGCGGGCGCCTAATGAATTGGAAGTTGATTTGTCAGCACTATCCTTATCTTCAGCGGCAGATGTTTTTATTTTATTGGCTTATAATTCCTTACCAAATGTAGTATTTCATCTTGATATGCTCCGTCTTTGATATGATTTAAAACAAGTTCCTCGTCATTATAATTCGCTTCGGATAGCGAAGAAAAGAAAGTGACAGAGGTTATTGAAAACAAAAAAAATTTCGATTGACAAATTAGTCGGTATTCTTGACACAGCAATTATAGGACTTGAACGGCGGAACTTTGTAACTGAACAAGAAATTATGTCTGTTTAATAGAATTAAAGAGGAAAGTATTATCACATGAAACGAAGCAAAACTTAAACAACTTTACATTGAAAGAAATGTTTAATAAAGTAAACAAATAAATATTAAGCTTTTTCTTTTTGCAAATTTTGATACCCTTTAGATCATAATTGTTCTTTATTTCATAAATTACGGTTTCATATTTTTAATTTTAGAATTTCTGCATGCCATCTTACGAGATTTAAACTGATGATCTATAATCCGGAAAAATCGATAATCCGGAATCGCCGAAGTCCCGACGAGTCCGGATTAACGACTTTTGACTTTATGCAACAAAACATATAATCTCTCAGGTATAAGATAGAGCAAACCAAAAGTTTTCGCCCAAACTACTTTATATATATCATTAGGAATACATTTTATTAATTACAATGCTGTCGCATTAATTAAAGTTGTATTGTCACTTACAGTGCTCAAGACCTTAGCTAACTACAGGAACTTTCTTCTTGGCCATATTTAATTCCTGTACCTGATCTCAGTAGATATCCCAAAATTAGGAGGATAAGTAAAATAAGGCATAACTCTTTTGATTTAAATTTAGACTTAAAATAGAGAAATTTGCTACTATTCCTTGATTTCAACAGCAAGTGTTGCATTACTCACAATTATAACAATAAATTTAAGAAAGAATGTAGAATATCTTTTCCTAAAAAGTTTTAATTTTGGATCTAATATTATATGTTGCAAAGCTTATGTTAATTGTACTTAAATAAATAAATAAAATGTTGCAGAAATTAACGGCATTTCATTTTAAATTCTAATATGTTTATTTTCATGCTTTAATAACAGTAGAAAATTTAAAAACATACATAATAAAAAAGGCATATGTGTGTAATTTTAAAGATTAAAAATATAATTTACTTAAAATATAATTTAATTTCAGGTGACACTTATTTCTAAGGAAAATGAGTCCAGTGTTCCTTATTGAACCTTAGATGTATAAGCTAACTTCTAGTGCCTGGAAAAACTTTTTGTTAATAGAATTTGCTAGTATATGCATTGAAGAGACTTTCTTTCAAATGATCAGTATTGTTTTGCACCTCAGAGAAGTATAGAATATGCTCTTTTACGCTTGACCTGGATTGTTCAGAGGTAAAAAGAAAAATTTGCACACTATTTTGGTTTTTCTTGATATAAAAGGTGCCTTTGACTGTCAGCTCAGCGATGGCAAAGATAAATCTTAAAAAATCCTTTTGGGCAACTGTTAAAATCTGAGCCCTTACAGAATTATTATTATTATTGTTTATATTTTCACTCCATGAATCAATCATTTGGGACATGACTTCTAGCCCAGAGAGGCTAAGTTTCAAAATGCAATTTTGCATTGAATCACCTTTCAAATTGTTGCCACCAAATATTATTGCCCTGCATTTTATTTAAAGAAATTAAATAATGAAGAATCTGCACAAATGTATGTATGTTTCTTACACTGTGAAAAAACAATAGTACCTAGAGCCATCAAATTTTGAACAATGCAATCCTCCACTGGAATATGAGCACCCGGAAGCCCAAGTTTGGAATTTCAAATTTGTTTTATTGTCTACATATTTTGTAAAACTTTAAACGAATTTTTGATTGACAAACTCAACAATTTCAAAGCAAGCAATAGCAACACTGCAAAGAAAAAATGATTTTTATCTCTAGCGTGCGAGACTGTCTAACAGAAGTGCTAAAGAAAAAAACTATATATGGTAAAACATTCTAATAGGAATTTTAAAGATATAACTGCTTTTTACTATTTTGTGATTTTGCTGTTAAATTTTATGTGGCGTAAGTGTGAAGAAGGCAACGCTTCATAAATAAAGTAAAAAAAAAAATTGGGTAAGTCCCATTGAACACTAAGCACATTAAACATATGATGAACTAAGAGAAAACTAGGGGAAAAAAAAAAAAAAAAAAAAAAAAAAAAATCAGAAATTTTAAACATATGCTGCTTTTACAAATTTTATATGTCGTATGTGTGAAGAAAACTATGCTTTATAATGAAATTAGAAAGATAAAAAAATTGTGCGAGCCCAAAAGCAGATTTGTACATTGCAAACTCAGTGAAAGCACAAAATATCTTAATAAACCATCTGGTGCAATGTTAAAATCTTAATCATTTCAGTTTTCTCTCTCTCTCTCCTTTTTTTTTTTTTTTTTTTTTTTTGTTGAACTTTTGCCTCTCTTTTTCCTCCTAAAGAAAGAATAAATATTGATTGCATAATTAGGTAACTGCCGAAACATGAACTGTTGTAATTCAGTTTTTACAAGACAAAGGTATCACCCATCCCGAAAGACTGAGTAAGAAAACACAAAATTAAACTGTGTGTTTCAACTCTTGAAATATCAAAACTGCCCTGCAACAACAGATGATGCAATGATGCCAAGAAGAGGTTTATAGAGAAACCGAGGAAATTTACAGAGTGGATGCGGATCATAAAGCCTGTACAGACATTTTCTGAGAGCTTCAGTTTATTTTCTTTTTGTGTCAACAACTTATCTTGATAGAATTCCATTAGCTGCAACTAGGAATGAATCACTGCACTACTGCTCACTGGAGTAATTACACATGTTCTTATCTGTGGATTTCTGTGCTTGTCTTTATTTTACTATCTTTACTTCTGTGCTTGTCATTGATTTAATATAGGGTGCATTTCAGTCCTTACAAGTGTTTACAAGTCCTTACATTCGGAAATAAATTATAAAGGCCCTTATAGGTATTTACTTTTCTTTCTCTAAAGTACTTATTTTTTATTCTAAGTGCGTGCTTTTTTTAAAGATTTTTTTTAAACGAAAGCACATTTTTTTTATGTCAAAGCCAGAACTAAATACATAACTTTTCTTCTTATCTGGAAAATCAGATGGTGAATCATACTCAGGAAATAGCTTTTCTCCCCTTCCTCTGCATCAGTGTAACCTTTGATTTGCGTGACAGACAGGTGCACATGGTTCTATTGGTTAAAGAATTGTGAATGGGGTAGAAAATTCTGGTATATTCCACATTCATTTTCCTCCCAGTACCTGTACCCACACACTATAGACGTGCTTCTGCCTGCAGTTGAACTTCTATCACAATTTTAAAATAATTTATATTCTCATTCCACACGGTCAGTTCATTTTTGCCTTTATTACGATTGCCATGCTTATATTATAAGCACATGTATGAATATGTGTAATATATTTGCAGTAAATATTGAAGTATTGATAAACTTCAGAAATGGGTAAGAGTGTTTTTAACACAAATTGGCTTAATAAGGAAGAATATTCTGAATGGCTTAAAGCTTGTGAAAAGAATTGCAAGGCCTTAGGTTACTGATGAAACTGAAATCAACACAGCAAGCATGGGAGTGTCTGCTTCAAAGTGTCACATGGTATGTAAGTAAACTTTTTTCCTATTTATTTATTATTAATTCTAATGTGTGAAATTAAAAAATTAAAATCTGCCATGGACTGCCGATTTATTCATTTTTTAAATTTTCATTTTGTGCTTTCTGAAAGCTTTTTTCATATTATTCATAAATACTCCCCCCTCCCTTCCTATTATTTTTGTATATCTTCCAAGCTGAGAATTTTGCACTTAACATATTCAATTCTTTTGCCAATGTATTATACAGCATGGAAGCAGAGGGTCCTGCTCTCTCCAAAAAATCTTAAAAACTGAAACCATTACAGCTCGTGGCAAAAAAAAGGTTATTTTTTTGGGGGGAAGGACTTCAGCAGGACTAAAAGTTCTGCAGTCTATTAAAACCAAGGGTGATGTTATTCTAGAAATTTAACGTAGCCTGTTCTGAAAATTTTAAAAAGTCAGTTATTATTTCAAAAATTTAAAAAAAAAAAGTTCAAGTCCAATCAGAAGAAGAGATAGAAGGCAAAAACTATTCTACAGAAAATAAAAGAATGAAAATGCTTCAGTTTCACTATGTCGAATGAAAATGCTTCAGTTTCACTATGTCAACTCATTTTGCTTAATTCAAATTTTATTAGGGAGGACAGAAAGTTATATACCGATTGAGCCTTCAAGGGCAAAGGTCTTGCATTTAGAATGGAAGAGTGAACTGTGTTTTTACTATTATTTTATGTGTGATTAAGAAAGGATGGTGTGGAAAGAAGAGAGGTGGGCCTCTTTCCAATTCCTCTGCTCTAATTAAAAATTAAGCTAGAAAAATAACACTTTTTACAGTTTTTCATGGAAAGGTGGACATTGGTGATTCATTGCTGTATACGGGAGTTTAGGGCGAAAGATGGATTTTTAAGGGAGGAAAATTATGATGCATTTTTCCACACAAGGGAGATTTAGATCGCTGTTTTTGAAAATGCTTCATTTATTCAAAATTATTTTGCACTTGGATTATTTGCACTAAATAAAATTAGAATGAAAAACACCCCAGATTTGTATGTCCCTTTCTTTAGTTATTTATTCTCTTAATACTGGCAGCTGTTGATTCCAAATGTATAATATCATGTGACGAAAAATTAAGGTACAAATTATTGCACAACATTTGCAATATTTTGCAAATAGTTAGTTTTGACATTCAATCTGGAATTTGTTTATGAGCACTTAAGAGAGTTTTACTGTGCTTGCTCAGTAGAATATTTTTCAGTTTCATTGGGCTATTTTTACATGTTTATGAATATACTTTTACAATCTATATATTTACCATGATAATTGGGCTATAGATCATAGTTTTCTGCCCTTTCTTTTTAATCACAAGTAACATTTGTTATCTAATCAATATCAAATTAAGATCTTCATAATATTTTGCATTCTAAATATTGCGATGTTATGGAAGATAAAGAAATATTCTTAAAAATAATATCTAGTGCACTTATCAAAATGTCAAAAAAAAATTGTTTGCCAAAAAATCTAAAAAGCAGCTACAATCTACACTGTCTTCTTTTTCCAGTTACGCTCGACTATCTGGAATCTTCAGGAACACGGAAATCAGCAATAGCTGAGCGTACTGGTTAGTTAAGCTATTACTTTATAAAGGATGATTGTATGTAGAAATTTCTCATCTGATATCAAAAATGTTACTCTTTTTACTTAAATTACTTTCCAATATCTGTTAAGGGAAAACTATCATATAATGAAAATTTAGAAAATGTTCCAAACTTTGATTTAAGTTAAATTATTTAAATAATAATAAGACTGGAAAAATATATAAATGTTCAATAAATTTTATTTATTTCTAGGTACCAAGCACAAAAAATTTTTTGAAAAGGAAAGATACAGTTGTTGGTGGAATAACAAGCTTTTTCCCAAACACAAATCCTATTAGTGTTGCACCTTCCAGTTTCCCAAGTGTTATTTGGGGTTCACAACATTCAGATACTTTCGATGATGATGCTCAAAAGATGTTTTAGATGCTGAAATTTTGTGGTGTTTGAAAGTGGTGACAAATCATTACTCTTATAGATCTAGAAGTGGCATAGGCAAAATTTTTTCAAGCATGTTCCCTGACAGTATTATAATAGCAAGACACTTTTCTTGTGGTGAGTTAAACTTGCTTATCTCTGCCATTTTTGGATTAACCCTTTATTTTCAGAGGCTCGTGTACAACAAATTTAAGAAGCTATCCCACTTTACCTTGTTATTTAACAAGCTTTTGAATACAACAAATTTAAAAAAAAAAAAAAAAAAAAAAAAAAAAAAAAAAAAAACACACAATTAGATTTGCATTTCAGATATTGGCAGTCTGACCAAAATAAAGCTGTAACTCGATTTTTGACATCTGTTTTCAAGGGACATGCAACAGCTGCTAATATTTCTTAAATCTTTAAAGGGCAATTAAAAAACTAGATATAAAAAACTTCTACATATAAGTATGGATGGGGCAGCCATAAACTGGAAGTTTTATGAAATCCTCCAAAATGAATTGAGAGAGGAATATAGCATTGAATGTACTATATCTATTGATAGTTGCAGCTTGCATATTTTGAATAAAGCTTTCCATAAGGGAGCAGCCACTACAGGCTGGAATATACCTTCTATTTTAGAAGCATGATACCATCTATTCAAAGATTCTCCAGCACATCACGACAGCAAGTGTACATAAGACTTTGCCACTGAAATTTTGTAACCACAGGTGGCTAGAGAATGCACCAGTATGTTTGCATGTCTTTGAAATTTGGGAAGATATAAAAGGTTATGTCAAGCTAGTTGCAAACAGAAAATATGTAAAAATAACTTACAAATCGTATGAAATAATAAGAAATGCAATTAAAGACAAATTAATGCCTGTAAAATTCATTTTTTATTTGTGTGGCTGAATTGGTCAAACCCTTTTTGGAAATGTACGAAAGTAATGAGCCACTTGTTCCTTTTTGTTTTCTTTTGATTTACACAAATTAGTAAAGCAACTTTTTCGACATTTCAAAATGATAAAAGAAGATTACATGCTAAAAATAAGCTCATCATTGAAGTATTTGTATAGCTTTTTCTGAAAAAGATACTGTTACCAAAATAAGCAAAATTAGTTTAGAATTTAAGGCTGGTAAGCTCTTGTAAATGCTAAAAAAGTAATCACGGATAAAGACTACCTTTCTCTTAAACATGGCTCACAAACTTTTATTTTACAACTACTCGAAAAGCTAAGAGAGAAAAGTCTGGTTAATTATTTACTAATTCGAAATGCTGTTTCTATGGGTCCAAAGTATATGGCCCAAAGAAGCACAAAAACATACAGGAAAATGAAAAGTACATTCATGCATTTCCTCCAAAAAGGTCCCACTGCAGAAGAAAAATGGATAATATTCTTTTTTGGAATACTCCAATTTCATTGAAAATGTTGTCCAACCATACCTTACAGAATTTAAAACCTATGATGTGAAAAAAAATAAGATTAGATACTTTTGCACACATTCATTAATGAAAAATACATCAAGTTGTGGGAAACGTTTAAAATGATTTTTATTCTTTTCCAAGGGCAAATCTCTGTTGAATAAAGATTTAGTCTCAATAAAAATACAGAAACAGAAAATCTGGGAGAAAATTCATACATTGCCCAGTGCATATTTTGTGAATGAATATGTGAAACATGTTAGTTGGATCCACAATGTAACAGTTGCGTAAGAGATGAGGGTGGCAATGAGTGAAACCAAATGATTTGCCATCAACCACAAAAAGTACCATACTTTCTTATCAAAATGTGTTTATATATGAGCAGATTCATATGCATTTTATTCACTCAGAAATACTGACTGACTGTGTTTATATATGAGCAGAATTCATATGCATTTTATTCACTCAGAAATACTGACAGTCAAGATTGAAAGATCTTCTTTGTCAATAAACAACATAATGAATATTATGATTATTTCTCAGTGCATCATAAACAGAAGAAAACGAATTCAGTTTACCTTTCCTACATCTTCTTGATACAACAAAAATGGAATATTAAACCTTGAAGCGATGATTAGAGGCCACTTTTTGACTGTTCTTGCCTTTCCCTTATAAATGGCTTCTCCTTTTGTAGCACTTTTTAAAAGGTCAAAATTTGGTTCACCTTTCTTCAGAGTTCCATAAACAAAAACCAAGTGGGATTTGAATGCCATGCTAGAGAACTTCTTAGTGAAGAGAATCAGCTAATAAAATAAATAATGAAATTAATAAAAAGTTAAATGCAAAATTTCACATTCAGGGTATTTAAAAGCAAAACTAACAAAATTTTGTAATATATTGTAATCTCAGGAAAAATAACAGACAAATGATTTTAGGAAGTGACAGGCATTTAACTTGCAAATTTGCTGTTTTGGAAATAGTTATAAATTATTCAATGCACATAATAATTCAATTCTTTTTTTTCCAGCAGTATTTCAAAAATCCAGACTCTAGCTATACACAGCATCACTTATTTTGATCCTTTGCTCTTTCTACAGTCAATAAAAACAAACCATGAAGTCAACATTTATTTTTCACTTTATTTAGTATTGTTATTAATAGCTGTTTTTAAGATGCTATTGTTTTCGCTACATGAATTTCATGGCCTAGCAAAACTGAAATTGTTACTACTTAAATGCAATTTAATAAAAAATTTTATTCCTTATTTTAATTAGTGTACTTTTGTAAGAAATTTATTTAAAATAACAACACATAGAAACATTTCCCAAATCCCTACAATGTATACATACAATATACTAAGTATGGAAGCATGCTATGTATAGAACATATAACACATGTAGCATATATAGTAGATCAATCTACAGAATACATACAATTTATAGAAACATACCCAAAATACAACTTTCTGGTGGCCACAAATTCTCTTTTCCACACACTATGGCCATATTCACAAATTCAGCATGCTGCAGCCGTATTCTCAAATTCTTTTGGAAGGTAAAGTACCGTTCTCTTGGAGGAAGGGGGAAACTACAGCATTTTTTCCATCAATGGAAAATTGAAAGCACGCATATTTAATATTTTGCAATGAAATACCAAGACAATTTTCACTAATTAAAGAATCATACAACACACTTATGTGAGGCGTAAACCACATATGCATACACAGATCAGTATTTTTCATTTGTCAATTTCCACTTCTCTCAAGGGTGCCACAACTGACAAGTAGCTAAATATTGTTAGAAATGAAGGAAAAGATAAATTACATAAAACAGCAGTACTGACAAGAAAATTAAAACAATGTCACCAAATTCAAAATCATGTAAAAGAGTCAGAAACTTTTATTTTGTAAGCATTTTCCCACTAAAGTATACCATGCATTTTTGGTGCCATATCTGGGGCACTTTGGTTAGGATTATTTCTTTTATCAAGCCTTTGTCTTGTTACTAGGTAAAAAGGAACAAGTGAAAACAACAAGAACACATTTTCTACTTTAATTACAAAATCTTCCGAAAATCCACTATGGAAAAGAACATGGCCTATATCATTTCTTTATTTTGAATAGGTTTTCATCATTGGCCATCAATGCTAACATTAGGACTAGATAACAAGGAACTGGTACATATCTCTCTAGTGTAATTATTGCAAACACAACAGATGCTACATCTAAAATTTATGACATCTGATAAAGAATTACTTTGATTGAAAGAATTTGAATTGCAAAATTCTAGAATACACGTGTATGTGTTGCAGCCTTTTTTACACTGCATAGTTAAGAGTAAAGTTTAAAGTTAAAAAGCTAAAATTTTTTATCACATTATGCCTTTAAAAAATAATAAATGAGAAAAAAAATGCTAGTCAGACTGCTCATAAAATCTGAGCTGTATATGGATAAAGTGTTGTTCCTGATGAAACAATTCGAAGGTAGTTTGAGAATTGTGGAAATTTGTCTTGAAGTTGATACCCACTCTAGAAGACCATCCTCTGTAAACAAGGTCCTGTAAAAGAAGCTGTCTCTGAAAATACATATTATACAGTTCAGAAAGTGTCAGACAGACTAAAAAACTGAAGCACAATACAGCAAACAGATCATTTGAAGAAGATACATTTGATACATGATTATGTCAAGATGTTAAGTTTGTCATTACAGTTTATGAACAGCTTTAATACAGCAGAATACACTTGCTCAAATTTCAGCATGTGAATGTTTGCTGAAATGAAATAAAGCAAGCAACCTTTTCTTTTTAAATGGCCCATTACTTGGCATGATAAGTGGATACTGTACAATAACATTTCAAAAAATACCAGAGTAAGACAAATGAACCTCCTTTTGAGGTTAAGAAATTGAAAGAGGAGACCGTATCCCCCCAAAAATTAATGCTTTGTGTAGAGTAAGATTCATAATATACAAAAGAATTGTACATTATGAAATGTTGCTAACAAATCAGACAATAAATTTATAAAAATATTATACTCACATAGTAATACTTTTAAAATCAGAAATTGAAGCAATGTGCCCAGAACTGACCAATCATCGAGATGTTGTCTGCTGTCATGTCAATGCTTGGCTCCACCTCTCAATGAATGCCAGATAAAAATTTATTGTGTATAGCTGGGATGTTCTGTGCCATTCTCAATATTCACCAAACCTTATCTCCTGAGATTTTCATTTCTTTGAGTTATTTTAAAATTCTCTGAACAGCCTGGGGTTTACTTTATTGGAGACTGTGAATCAACACCTTGATAGCTTCTTTATGAATAAACCAAATGATTTTCATTGCTTGGGACAATTGAAGATTTTGCACCCATTTCTGTTTGCCAAAATGCAATGCGGAACATCAGTTTGGTACCCATTGGTTGTTGCAGCTGGATGCTGGGGACAGGCGTACTCTCTTGCTCCCCTCCCAGCTATGCCAGCCACTGGATGGCAAAAAATCATAGAACAAAATGGTGCTTAAAGGATTCAATGAAAGTTTCTTACATTTTTGTACTGCTTTAGCTTATTTATCATGAAAATTCACAGAACTTTCTTCATGATTTAATGTTCTGTATTGCTCATTTTAAATACATGACTCTATTTTAGATCTTAAATGTCTGCAGATTAATTCTTAAAATACTGCAAGTGTTTAAGCTTTAAACAGATTCAGATGCTACACAGGAATATGAATCCCTATGAGAAACTACTCCAAGGTGTTTCTACTACTATATTAAAAAAATTAATCATAGTTGGTATAGTGGTTAGTTAAGGTCACTACCACACCAATGGCCATAGGTTTGAATCCTGGAAAAGGCATAGCTATTTTTATGTGCAGCAAGGAGGCATTACATGGCAAGCTGAAAGTCTTCTTGAGAGGTTGCTGGTAGGGCATGAGAGGTGAGAGACCTTCCAACTACATTCCTTGGGATGCTTTCTTTCACCATCAATATCTAATAAGTGGGGTGCTTTGTTTGATCGTAGTCTGGTTTCAACACCCTTTTTTTTCCACGCATGGTGTTACATGAGTCCATTAATACACTAATTAAGTTTGCCCATGAAACATTATTATCTTCAATAGTATAACAACTGCTTTAAAAACAGCTTGTGAATTGCAAGATTCCATCTTTAGAGATGCAAAATGATGAACTACAACTTCATTTTGATTGTTGTCATAAAACTGCACTAATATTGCCAGTATACTTTCTTGAGCATTGCTAGTACTTTCATCCAAATTTAGAGAAAATGGAGTCTCCTTTAAAGTTTTTGATATTTCCCTAATAGTTTTTGCGAGCCCATATTTCATCTTATAACATGCAGTAGTCCTGGACATTTCCAACGAGTTAGTGCCGTCTGATCGCGGCTCAACGTTTGCAGAGTTCAATTAAATTGGAAGCTACATTGAAAGAAAGAGAATTCTCGCGATAAACGAAGTTATTAATACCTCTTGGCGTGCTTTCTTGTCACTATATCCAATGGCTGAGCATCAGTCTCCAGTAAGTCATCAGATTTTGAATTAGCATAATTACTTAAAGTCATTGAATGTCTAATGCACTTGAATATTTTATGTGCGCCACAGTTTTAGAATGATTTGTGAAAGCCTTGAAATCCTTCCCCACCATACTTCAGCAGTGAGTTACAAAAAAACACAATATGCTTGTCCAGCAACATTTATTTTCTTGCACCATGTGCCGATGGTATCCCCATTACCATCTCTCCGTTCAATCCAATTCCACCTAAATGCATTCCGGAACACCTTCTTTTATTGTTAATATCACTATTTATATCGAGAAATTTCATAGTGAAATTCTCTTGCGTACATAAATAAAAAAAATATTTCAATAAACGAAACGAAAAATTTACACGTGCATCAATAAATGAAACGAAAATTTTACACAGCGGAGAAAAAAAAGTTGAGAAGCGATCAATGACAAATAGCTAATACGGCGAAAAATCCCCCTTCTCTACTTATTGGCGCCACGCCAGGAGAGATAAGACCTTTGAACTCACACGTGATCGCACATCTGGTCGAACGAAGTCTCTCCCTTTTTTTTCTGCCGCGCCTACTTGTCGAAAAGAATACAGAAGAGAATGTCCAAGAACCGGGGGAATGAGTCATAATTCGCAATAAGGAAAGAACAAAAAGAAGTTTTTTCCCCCTTTTCACGCATTATCACTGCCTTTGGAGAAAGAAAGGAAAAGTTTTCACCCCACACACTGACCTTGTGTTTTCTGCTTTCAAAGCAAACAAAATTACCCAGATCAAAATAAATTCATTCATTATTATTCCTACTTCCTTTTGAATGACGATCCCCGGAACGAAGTTCAAAATCCCCGGAATTCCGGGGTTTCCCCGGAGCACAAACACTCCTGCAAATCTAACAGTGCAAAATTCATTGCACTATTAAAAAAAAAAAAAAAAAAAAAAAAAAAAAAGAAGAAGAAGAAGAAACGAAAAGAAAAGAAAGAAAGAAAGATGAAGGAAATGCAACTGCATTAACCATAAACACAATTATTACTAGTAAAAATAAGCCAAATCAAACTGATGGCATTTAGATCCAAGAAAATATGCCTCAACAAAAAAGTGCCAAGAAGTATGGCTTTAATGATAATGTAATTTATGTTGATTTTTAAGCATTTCTTTCATCATTTCATGTCAGACCTATAACATATCAACAGTAATTTTGTTAAATGTATAACATATATCCAACATTCTTGCATACACTTTCTTCACTGGCACCCATAAATCACAAATACTCAATCTAACATATGTTCCACTATGTTAATTCAACCAGTTATTTTATGATTTAGATCTTTACTGCCATTTCTCTTTCTGGATTAAAGGATTTGTTTTAAAACCTTCTTGAGACTTTGTAGTTCTTTTCAGACAAAGCAATAATTTGCTCCAAGTCTGTAGGAGTCCGGACTTCTTTACGAAAGAAGACTAAACTCTACATTGATGCCCAAACAAAATCTCACCCTATGGCTCAAAACAATGTAATTTTTAGTCTGTCCTTCCCCAGTATCATGGGCTTCACTGGCACCCATAAATCACTTAAAATGATTCGGCTTCATACGATGCGAGCGCTGATGAAACTCAAGGTGACTTCTGATGGCAGAAGTTCCATAATAAATTCTTTGGAACAACTGGATACTCATTTTTTGCTTTAATCAATTGTGGAAGTACAAAAGGTCATCATAGCAACTGCTACACAGCAAGGACAGGTACTGAGCTGGTATAAATGCATCGACAAATTTTTCTATGAGAACCAGGCAGTGAGAGTTATGAGTTCTACAGATTTAAAGCCACCCTTGTAAATGCATTCCCTATGGTTAAAGATAAAGTGAAATTAGAGGCAAAATTGTTTAGAAGTTAAGGCCGAAGAACTGACACAGTTTACACTGAGAAAAGTACAATTAGTAAATTTCTTGCATGGAAAAAAAAATCTGATGCAGAGGTTTATTCAAATTATACTGCCTAGGCTACTGCTACAGATTCAGGATTTTATGGAATTATGAAACCTGAGGAAATGAGAAAAGTTTATTGAGCTCGCAGTTAGGCTTGAAAAGATGACGGTAGCAGAAAGTACGCCTATGTCAGGATAAAGCCAGAGGTCAAGTGAATATTTTCATAGAATTGTATTGGAATTTTCACTTGAAAATGGCAATTGTCGAGATGAATTACATAAGACAAACAACGAGAAGGCAGAAAAATTTAACTAATGAGGGGTACAGAAAAAAAGAGGTTAGAATCACTGTAAAAGGAGCAAATTTCCTCTCGAATTCAACTGAATACAGTTTTAATAAAAAAATCATACCTGCCTGCAATTAAAATCCTGTTAAATAACATGCCAATGGACACATTATTGAATACTGGGGCAATCTGACAGAAAATTTTATTAAAAAGAACTTTTACCAGTCCATAATGTTTAGTATTGAAGGAATGAGAGTTACAGCTGCCCAAAGGAAAAAGTACCAATGTATATGCAAAGTTACATTAAATGTACAGGTGAAAAATTATAACTAAAAAGTGTTCTTTGTTGTGAAAAATCTTCACGTACCAGTAATTTTGGGAATGGATTTTTTAAAAGTGGGAGCAGCAAAAATTAACTTTCAAAAAGTGATGGTACAATTGGACATGAAGAAAATGGAAAATGAGGGAATAAAGCATCCAGCCATTGACTTCAAAGATCCGAAGTCAGAAGATAAATTGAAAATGGATCAGCTAGTAAGAAACTTTGCTATTTTATTTGATGAAGACACAGAATTAATGCTAATCGTAAACCACAGGACACAGGAAAATGGACACAGGATGTACACCCCTATCGAGCAAAGCCCTACCACTAAAATAAAGAAGAAATAATTGAAAAACATATCCAAGAAATGCTAAACAGAGCCCTCGCCATGTTTCAAAGGGCCATGGACATTTATACTAAGATCTGCATTTGGAAAATCTATATTTATTTAGATTTTTCAAATGCAGATGATATGATTATACCCAGCAAGACATTAAACGACATATATGAGAATTACGCAAAGTGCTTTCACTTCCAAAAGAAGCAGGATTAAAAATTAATTCATCCAAGTGCAAATCTGCCACCAAAGAACTTTGTTACTTGAGCTGTATCCCAGAAAGGAATCAAACTGAAGATCACACAATAATTGCAATCAAAAATTACCCTCCACCTCATACAGTGAAGAAATTAACCTCTTTTTTGAGCCTGTGTATCTGTTATCGGACTTTTATAAAAAATTTTGCACAATAGCAGAACCCCTTTTAAAATTAAAAAGAAAGGAAGGTTTACTTGGATGGCTGAAACAAACACAGTGTTTCTCGTGAAACAATTATTTCTGAGTAACAAACAGACCCGGAATTAAAAAATACTTGTGCTTGCTTAAAGATCCTGATCATTTTGAACACCAGGTTATGACTATTAGAAACAGAGCTATGAAAGTATTGAGAAGCTTTTGCTTTAATCCAAAGTAACAAACAAAAATAATGAATTAAGAACCAATTATCCCAGCAAGTTTGAAATTAATTGTTTTGTAGAAATTGTATGATTCACCAATTTCATGCAATCTCAGGATAAGAAAAATGGTACAACACATTTAAGAAGCTGTATATTTTCCACAGCTATAAAAAATTATTAGTCAGTACATCGAGTCCTGTCTGTCCAGTTAGGTAACTATGTTCATTATAGCATCGCCATGTATCTAAACAGTAGAAAAGCTACATTCCCTAATGAACTAATAGGAATTAACTTATTAGGCCCATACTCATGTTGTGAAAATAATAAAAATAGATATTTGCTTGAAGAGTGGCTCATTTTTTCACGTGGGTAGAAATAGTTCCCTTAAATAAGTTTCCACTAAAATTGTTTCATATTGTTTTATAAATAAATTTACATTAAAATAGGGGGCACCACTAAAAATAATTTCAGAAAACGAAAAGCAGTTTACTAATGAAATCGAGAATTCATGTTCAGGACTGTAGAGAATTCTGCAATTCTCCGATTTTTTTTTTTTTTTTTTTTAAAGTTAAAACAGATCGCTCAGCACACAGACAGAAGACTGAGAAAACAAAAATTAAACTGTTTTATTATGGCTGTTTGCTGCATTTTTCAGTTAATTTATCACCGTTTTTATGAAATTTGGAGTGTTTCATTATGGATGTTTGCTTCAGGTAATTTTTTTCTCTTCATTATGTACATTTCTTGCATTTTTAATTTTGTTAATTCATTGGTATTTTATATAATTTTTAGTATGCCACAATTTGTTTGAGTGGGTACTATTCTTCATGTGTTACGTTGGTGAAAACTGGTCGCCAACCATTGATAACTTAGCGAGACAGTTAGTTGGGTGGATAATGCGATAGTACCAAGAAATGAGCAGTTAGTTACAAATCATTAAAATAAGTAGTTGAGTATTCTTTGTTGTACAGGTTTATACGGTCAATACTACAAAATGTTTTTAGTTTTAAAAATAT